ACTCACTTGGTAGCCCAGGCTGGCCTCGAACTCACAGAGATCCGCCTGGCTCTGCCTCCCAAGTGCTGGGATTAAAGGCATGCGCCACCACCACCCGGCTCAGGCAGGGCATTTTAAAAAATGTTGGTTATGCGTGGTAAGGGTTCTTCTAAAGTTTATTTATTGTTTTCATTACTGTTGTATGTGTGTGATGTGTATATGTGTGTGAGAGTGAGGGTACACATGTGAATGTGGAGGTCAAAGGCCAGCTTTCGGGAGCCTGTGGGTCCAGTGATGGTATTCACACTTGCATAGTCGTTACTCTTACGTGCCAAGCCATCTCACTTTTTAATGTTTTAAAATTTTTATTCTGTGTATGTGTGTGTCTTAGTTAGGGTTTTTATTGCTGTGAAGAGACACCATGACCACAACAACTCTTACAAAGAGAATATTTAATTGAGGGGCTTGCTTCCGGTTTCAGAGGTTTCGTCCATTATGATCATGACAGGGAGCATGGCGGTGTGCAGGCAGATGTGGTTCTCGAGCTACGCCTGGCGGGCAACAGGAAGTCGACTGAAAATCACACTGAGGGAATCTTGAGCAAAAGAGACCTCAAAGCCCGCCCCCACAGTGACACACCTCCTCCAACAAGGCCACACCTCCTAATAGTGCCACTCCATTTGGGAGCCATTTTCTTTCAAACCACCACAGTGTGTGTGAGCGGGTGTGCGCACTTGTGTGCACTTGTACTCGTACATGGAACTCAGAGTCGACTTTGGGCTTCTTCCTCTATTGCCCTCTGCTCTATTTTGAGTGTCTCTCACTGAATCTAAAGCTCACAGACGCTGCTACATCGGCTGGCCAGCTAGCCCGAGGTTTGCCCACTCATTGTGGGGGTTACAGGTGCTTGCTGCCACACCTGGATCAGGCATTGGTGCTAGCATCTGGCAAAGAGGGAAACTGCACTTTTATTGCAGATTCTCATTGGCGTAGACTCCAAATGATGGCTTCTTGTAAATGCCCATTTTGCCTTTGGGTTGTACATTACCAGTATTTTTCTGACTTTCATTTAGAATACTATACACATCTGCTAAAACAAAAACAAAACAACAAACAAAAAACCAAACAACATCAGCACTCAGGAGGTACTGATATCAGTGAGTTGGAGGCCATCCTGGTCTACATAATGAGTTCCAGGCCAGCCCAGATATACATAGTGAGGCCCTGTCTCAAAAAAACCAAACCAAATCAAAACAAAAGCCACCAAAATAATTTTAGGGAGATGTAAGTGGAAAATTATTGCTTTTAGCTTAAAGGAAGGCTGGCTAGCATTGTTTGCACAAAAGATTGGTGAGCCTCTCTGCCAAGGAGTTATGAGGTCACTGTTGAGCATACACTTTGAGCACACTTTTGTACACACCTGTAATCCCAGCACTCAGGAAGGCTGAGACAGAAATATCATAAATTGAGTCCAGCTTAGGCTGAACAGTATGATGCTGTCTCAAAAAGAAAAGGAGGAGGAGGAAGAGAAGAAATCCTGTTGTGTAAACTTCTTCTTTTGTGGAAGGGTTGGCTCCATAAAGAACTGAATGAGCCATCCTGGGAACCTCTGTTTTATTTGTTTACAAACACATAAAAAACAAATGAATCATTCTAAGTCTATCTCAGAAAAACAGAAAACCCAAAAATAGAGGACGAGGAATTCTCCCAAGCTACGCTTTGCTATTTGAATCACGGACTTTGTAACTAGATAAATATACATAATGTTTTAATTTAATTCAGTAGATGAGACCTTGAAAATAAATTTCAGAGTATCATGAGATATTATGGCAAGATATAAATATTACTGTAAAATTGCTTGGTTATAGAGTATAGTAAGCCACATACTTGTTATATATGAAAAATGCGAGCCTAAGTAAATAATTCATTTTTCATGAGATTAGAATTCACTAATAATCATATGTCTGCTACAGCTGGGTTAGAGATTTTGGGGGATATCTATTCTTGCTTTTAATTACTGTTAAACTGAAATGAATGAATACACTTCTCTTTCAAATTTAAATAGGCTTTTCCCCCTGAGGAGTTCAGTTATAGGGCATGCTGTTGAATTTTAAACAGTTAGAAAGGTTTATTCGCCTACTTAACACAAATGCTGAATAAGACTTCAGGGTAACTTTGTGGATTTGGGGGTTACAGGCTGCTGTAACCTTGCCAATGACCACGTCCATTTTTCTTAGCCATCTGGCTGCTTAGAATTGGAGGCTCAGACTCCCAGGTAGGAACCTGGTTCTCCATACCCCGTTTCACAGTTGAATGCTCATTAAAATGTTCTGCACCCACCGAGTGCACTGGGATGAGCTGCACTTTACCTTCTTGAGAAATGCGACTCTGGCATTTACCTTCTAGTTTGGCTTTGAAGGCTACTGGTGATAGTTAGGCTCACTTCAGATACAGAGAAGACACGCGTCCTTCTTTGTCCTTTTGGTTGGAAGCCTAGCCTTCAATGGCTGAGTCATCTCTCCAGCCCCTGAGTCCTTCTTTGAAAGCCTAGGTTTTCTTTTAACTTTTTTTTTTCTTGAGCATCTAGCACTTACCACACAAGCTAAACTTATATAGGTTTAGCATGTTTTCCCTCATGCTAGATATGGATTTGTATTCTTTCTTACCACAAAGAGCAGAGACTGGGATGTATCTTGTATGCACTGTAACAGTAGCACTGTGCCTCCCAGGAACTCACACAGCTTTGCCTGTTAAACAGAGAGCTACTGGAGAAATATAAGACATTTCCAGGGATATTGAAGCAAGCAGATTACCTACCGCATTAACACCTGTGCCCATAAAACAACAAGTGATTGATTGCATGTGGGCACTTTTACAGTGTGTCTTCAGTTTCTGAAAACACTCGGTGTTCACATTTCTCTGTGTAGTGTCGGTGCTGGGTCTGTTACTCTCTTTCTAGCAGGCTCTTGCTGTTGGGATAGACGGTTGAATCACCTAAGATGGTAAATGGAATAAAAGATACAAGAAGGAGAAAGGGAGCTTGTGCGGGATTGAACTTGGGTGATGAGGAAAGAGTTGGAAGTAGTTTGGAAGGACATAGAATTTGGATGGACAGACGCGAATGGAAGACATCTCAGGTTGGTGAGCAGTGTTTCAAATGTAGAACTGGGGGCTGGGCCCTGGCTCAGTTGGTAAAGGGCCTGCTGTGCGAGCATGAAGACATGACTTGATCCCCAGAACCCGGTGCCATGCTGCATATTTGTCCTCTCGGGGCTGCAACCAGAGATAGGTAGCACCTAGCGGCTTGCTTGGCGAGGCAGCGCAGGCTAGCTGGTGGGTTCCAGGCCAGTGAGAGATCATATCTGAGAAAGGAAGGTGGATGGCACCTTGTCCTCTGGCTTCCCCGTGCGCCTGCACACACAGATAAAGTTCAGAATCATCAGGGCATTGTGACAGAGATGGCTAGTACCACCATCTGGTCGCTGTAGTTCTGAGAAGGGTGGGAATAGGAGCCTATGATTTTACATTTTGCTTTTGTATGTATTTTTTTTTTTTTTAAGCAGATTTCTAAAGTCAGTCCCCTGAGATACTTGATCAGTGAATCTCAGCTCTTCTACTCATTTGCTGTGTGACCTTTGAACACTCACTCATCCTTTGTAAGAACCTGTCGTCTCCCCCCCCCCCCCCCCCCCCCCCCCCCCCCCCCCCCGACACAGGATTTTTCTGTGTAGCCCTGGCTGTCCTGGAACTCGCTTTGTAGACCAGGCTGGCCTCGAACTCAGAGATCCTCCTGCTTCTGAGTGCTAGGATTAAAGGCCTGTGTCACCACCACTGGCTGATAATCTGTTCCTTTAGT